CTTTTTGGAGGTGGCCAACATAGCCCTTAATGCTGAGGAATACAAGTTACCCGTTTAAAATAAAAATAAAAATATAATATCATCGACATACTCTATCAGGATAGTTGTCTTTCCCTCGAGAGAATGTCGAATGAACATGGTATGATCTGCTTGCCCTGGAGTGTGTGCTTGTTTTCTTACAAATTGAGTGAACCTCTCAAACCATGCTCTTGGAGATTGTTTAAGCTCATAGAGAGATTTCTTTAGTTTGCACACTCTAGTTCCATACCTTTCTTCAAAACCCAGAGGAGGATCCATGTAGACTTCTTCTTCAAGTTTTTCGTTCAAGATTGCATTCTTTACGTCTAGTTGTTGAAGGGGCCAATCAAGGTTGACAACAAAGGTCAGAATAACTCTGATTGAGTTCAACTTGGCAACTGGAGCAAATGTCTTGAGATAGTCAATCTCGTAGGATTGAGTGAACCCATTTGCTACCAAAAGCGCCTTATACCTCTGTAGGGTCTCATTTGATTTAAATTTGATGGTGAGCACCCACTTGCATCCCACTGTTTCTTTTTACGTGGTAGTTCTACCATTTCCCATGTTTCATTTCTCTTGAGAGCATTCATCTCTTCTAGAATTGCCTTTTTCCACTCAAGAACGTTCAAAGCATCCTGCATGTTTCTCGATGTCTCCATTCCAGATAATTGAGAAAGAAAAGCTATATAGAAAGGGGACAAGTTTCTATATGACATAAAATTTGACATGGGATGGTTTGTGACATTTCTTACCCCCTTTACATTTAAAAATTGGAAGATCAAGGTCTAGAGTAAGAAGGGGTAAATAAAAAGTAGGTTCTAGAGAGTAACCTTGTATATCAGTGCGATCTTGCGGGGTGGACATTTGAATCTGATGAGAGTCATCTCTTTTCTTGGTTTTGGTTTCTCGTCATGTAAACCTGTAATTTCTTTGTTTATTCCCTGTCCTTGTCATTAATTGTATCATGAAAAGGCTCTAATGTTTGAGTTCTCAGTTTCCATATTTTCATTATTTAAGTTGGGATCTCTTACCTTATCTAGGTTGTTATTACCAAAAGTACTATTCTCATGTCTATCATAAAACTAGGATAATTGTTTCTCACGTGTGAGGTCAAGAGAATCCTTTTTATCCCTTGAATCTTCACTATGTTTCTCCCCGTGAAGATGAGTGAGTTCCCAAAAACAATGGAGATTCAAGAGTGTGACATTTATTGTGACAATAACCTTCCTAGTATTTGGGTTATAACACTTTTATGCCTTTGACTGAGAGCATAGCCAACAAAAACACATTTTTAGTACTTGGATCAAGTTTACTCCTATTATGGTCATGACATGAACAAATACAGTACTCCCAAAGACTCTCAAAGATAGATCGACAGTCAACATAGACGTAGGAAAGTATGTCTTGAACATACTCAAAGAGGTTTTAAAACCTAGAACATAAGAAGACATCCTATTAATAAGTTAGAAAACATAAATCATAAGCACGGTCAATGCATGCTAAACATCTTTAAAACACTTGTGAGATACTTCTAGAAGTAACCTTAGTTCATTATTGTGGGAGATTTACCTTTAACCGACATATAGACCATGTGAGCTATAACATGGAATCCGGTTTCTCCCACACCGAAAAGAGATGTCCTTACTTGCTAAGGTAAGAACCATTAACTTCGTCGGGATCTTCTCCCTTGGTCCTCTAACTCTGATTCTTGCCCATCTCAGATGATTTTTAATTTATGTCTCCTCTTAAGTTTTGTAGCCACCCTCCACATTCATCACCTATCTTTTCCATCACCTTGTTCCAGAGTTGCAATGGTACCCCAAAAACCCTAATCCAAAACCAATCAAACCTTTTTTCATCTGGGATGACTCCTATCGTTGGAGACCACCATTCCAGCTTCAAGGTTAGACCTTGTCTCTTCCATTCACCCATGATAACATGTTCAGCCATCCTTCTGGTCTGAAATTCGAAGAGGAAGAGGAAGCCATTCATGTTGTACACATGAATATTATGAGCTCCTTTCCACATTTGTTGGGTCCATCTATGCACTTCATTTCGAATTGGCGCATCTCCTTCTCCACAAAACTTGCCAACGAGACATCGTCGTAACATGTTGCTGTCATCTACATCGGAAGACACTGTCAACATTGAATTCTCACTGGTTACATTCATTTCTCTCTTGCTCCATTTACTGTTGTGCCGAGCTCCCTTGTAATCCCCCTTCCCAACGATTGTATTGAGATTTAATTCCCTTTTTGTAATAAATTCCCCTTTCTTCTCTACTTTTCTCTCAATGAAGTTCTCCACTTTTGTTACCAGATTCCCCCATCCCTCATTAAATGTATTTTCTGGAATAATAATTACTGATCTACTCTGCCCCTTCACTGTAAAATAATAGAAATAAATGAACCGTACTTATTGAACTTCAGGGAGCAATAAATATATGTCGAAATGTCTCTGCATCTTCATGTTTTGAAGTTTGCTCCCCTGCTTTCAGAAGCTTCCTTTAATCTTTTGCGTAACCAAAGTAAAGCTCCCCTACTCAATATCATACGCCTGATAGACATCCTGGTACTCTCCACCGATTCAAACCATCTCTCTGAAGCAGATATTGATTCTGTAAGATCATAAGATTTTCCTCCCTTTCTAAAATACAACCTGTTCTCCATGTTCTAAATGCTACCTGGAAAAAAAGGCAAGAAAAGGAAGAGATTCCGATGGCAGATAACCATCAGAAAAGGGGCACTAGACACTCAGAAGGGATCTCTAGAAGCCACCTAGGGAAAAGTGCCTGGGAGCATTTTGTTTAATTATAAGACTTAACAAGACAGTGTGACATATTTGTCCTTGTTTCTTCTCGCTTAATCTCAAAGAAAGTTTCCTTCAAAGTGCGCTTCTCCAAGAATTTGTGAACGAAGTTCATTGAATTCTTGGTTCAATCTTGCTAAAAGTAGATATTTTTTTTTATGACACCTGCTAAAAGTAGATATTCCTTCATATTCTTCCTTTTTCATTACTTATACGCTATCATTAAGACACTCTCATTCATCATTATAGTATTGATCTAATTCTTGCCATAAGGGAACCATCTCAGTATAGTAAATAGTAACACTTATCTCCCCCCTGCCTAGCTTTCCACAGTTTAAGTTTTAATAAAAAAATCGGAGAGGCATTTACTATATATATACATCAGATTAAGTCTCTCTAACAGCCTCCCAAACATCCCTAGCAGTGGGAAGAACAAATATGGTTTACCTATGTCAAATTCCATGGAGTTTAGTAGCCAAGTGATTACCATCGAGATTTCTGTTCTCCAGGCGTTCATTTTCTGGTCTTGTTCAAGCTTTCTATTTCTCCAGTTAGGTGCCCAAGTGTTCCTCAACCAGAAATTACCAAACAAACAAATTGTGCATGTGAGAAGTAAATTGAAAAGATAAATGAGAAGAATCACCGCCTTGATTCATTGTTGTCTCGGTCGAGACTTTGTTACAGAACTCTCAACTTCTATCGGTGCCGCTGGATGACGTAGCCCAGTAAATGCTGTTTAGTCATAAGCAACAAGAATAAATCATCGATATGTAAATGTTGTGGATGCGTTGGAAGCCCTTAAATTAAGTATTTAATTATATTTTTAGTTGCTTTATTTATTATTTTAGAATAGGATTTATGTTTTATAGTTTCATAAGGATTAGGTTAAGTTATAGTTATTAGTTTGGAATAAGATTTAGGTCTCCTACTTTCATAAGAATTAGACTTCCTATTGATGTAATAAGATTCCTATTTAAATGGGCTTTTGATGAATGAATCGGTAAGTCATTTTTCAGGAAAAATTAGGAGATTAGAGTTCTCTCTTCCATTGAACTCTAAGGTTTCAGCCTCCCTTTGAAGAGTTGAAGAGATCGGAGTTCTCTCTTTTAATGAACTCTAAGGTTTCAGCCTCCCTTTAACGAGCTAATTTATATATCGCCCTGTGAATCGATCCTTCCCTAAAGATTCATAACAATTTGGTATCAAAGCCTAACACAATGGGCGATGAGATCAGTTCTCGATTTCAAGGAGAACGTACCATTACAGAAATCCTAATGGACTCTAAAATTGCAGCAATGGAACAACGCCTCAGAGAAAAAATTGTCCAAGTCATCCAAGAACAATTGTCTAGATTGGGAATTGACTTCACAAAACCAGCAACCGACAAACCCAGTGTTTTGAGAAGCGAGAAGCGAAAAAAAGCGACGAGGGCTCGCTTCACAGAAGCGACGAGCGAGAAGCGAAGCGCACGCTTTTTTTTTAAGTAAAGCGATATTTAGTATAAAAATAAAAAATATTAAATAACTGAATAGAGGTAATATATTCTTAGATTAAAAGTAAATAGATAGTCAATAATACTCATAAGTCATAACATATGAAGCAAAAAAATAAAAAACAATAATTAAATCACAAAAGAATCAAACTCCTATTCTTCAACAAGATCCTCAAACTCTTCAAGTGTCATAACCAAGGGTTCTACTTGGTCATCATCTTCTTCATCATCAGAAGGCTCATCAACAAGGTTTCGACTTGAACTGGAACCTCTAGCTCCTCTTTTATTACCCCTTAAAGTACTCCCCCTAAAACTATAAATATTCTCCTCAACACCACTTGCCATAGAAACATCACCATAAGTGAGACTTTCTCCTTCATACACTTCTTCATCTTGGTGATCTTGGGGTGCTCCGGTTAACCATTCATTTGCCTCATCAATACTATCCAACAAAATTGGATCAATGGTATTACGAGCATTGTAACGACGCGCCAATGTTCTATTATATTTGATGAACACTAGATCATTGAGGCGTGTCAACTCAAGCCTATTTCTCTTTTTACTATGAATCTGCACATAGTAGAAAGTAATTAATAGGAGGACTTAGGATGATTAAGATACCTATTAATTTAGTAATAATGTAATGTAGTTTCTCACATGTTCATACACGCTCCAATTCTCTCACAACCGGATGCGCTACAAGTTAAACTTTGCACTCTAATAGCAAACTGTTGCAAGTTTGGGACATTATGACCATATTGCATCCACCATTCAACTGTAGAAGAGTTATTTTAAAAGATGTGTAATAACTTAAAAGTTGAAGCTTTAAACACAATTAAAAGATGAAATTCTCACCTGGTGACCTTAAGGTTCTAGCTCTAATGGCTGATTCAATTCCAAGTAGGCCATCCGCTTTCATGTACACACCAAGCTCCTCCCCTATTTTGTCTTGCAAATTTTTATCTGGGATCATCCTCTCAACACATTTATGATATCCCTGCCACACATCTTCAGTTAAAGTCTTCATGTCATTATTTTTATAATAGAGCCCTGGGTTCAAAATGTGTCCCGCTGCATGCAAAGGTTGATGAAGTTGATCTGTCCACCTTGCATCAATGATTTCAAAAACACTCTTATATTTCCTTGTATCATAATTGAATGCCTTTTCAATACTTTCTTTGGCCCTGTCCATGGCTTCATAAATGTAACCCATTGGTGGTTTTTTCTCCCCATCCACCATACGAAGTACATGAATTAAAGGACCACCAACTCTAAGTGCTTGAACAACGTCATTCCAAAAAAATGGACTAATGATGTGTCTTGCAACTTCTTTACCAAGAGTTTCCTTTGAATAGATACTCTCATTCCATTCAGTTGACATAAACAAAGTTCTCAAATTTTTCTTTTGCTTATAAAAACTATACAAAGTCAAAAAAGCTGTTGCGAATCTTGTCTTGGCGGGTTTTACCAAATTTCTTTGCTTTGTGTATCTCCTCATCATATTCAACAACAATGCCCTTTGATTGATATAAGCATGTACCTTAACTGCCTTACCAAAAACTGTTTAAAAAAATGGTAGTTAAAATGTAAAGAAACTAACATAAAGTTTAAAAAAGAAAATTAAATATCAAGACTCAAGTTCACCTGTAGAATACGGGGCTTCTTTGAAAATGTCACCAAACATCAAATTGATATAGTGAGCATCACAAGGAGTCCAGAAAATATGTGGGAACACTCCCTTCAACATGTTACCCGCTTTTTTGTTCTCACTTGCATTATCAGTCACAACTTGTACCACATTTTCCTTGCCTATCTTCATGATAGTCTTCTCAAACAAGTTAAACATCTTATTAGAATCGGTAGAAGAGTCACTAGCATCATAAGATTCAAGAAACACACTCCCTCTTGGAGAATTCACCAAAACATTAATGACCATTTTTCCATTCCTTGCTGTCCATTTATCCATCATAATGGAACAACCATACGTTTTCCATTGAACCTTATGTTCTACTATCTTGTTTGTCTTTTTCACCTCCTTATTTATAAAAGAAACTCTTACCTCATGATAGGTGGGGGGCTTCATTCCAGGGCCATATTGGCCGACTGCCTCAATGAATTCACAAAAACTCTCTGTGTAATTAACACAATTGAAAGGAAGCCCTGCATCATACATCCACCTAGCAAAAGCAGATACAACACGATCCCTCAAAATCTTTCTAGAAGATTCTAAGTCAATAGGTCCACCTTTTCTTTTTTCGTTTGGTTTTTGCGAGAAATAGAGATTCATAGGACCCTTGATAGTGCTATTGATGGAAGACCCACTCCCACTACTTGAAGGCATCCTTTGATGCTTTGAGGGTGGCCCCATTGGCATATTCACTTCAACTTCATCATCATCTATTTCATCATTATCAACAAGATTAACCATGGATGCTTCATGGTTCATTTGAGTTTTTAAACTCATTTTTTCTTCAACAAATATTCTTTGATCTCTTCCTTCACTTTATTCGGGACGTTCGGACATACTTTTACATCTCTATAGCCACCGATAAGATGCTTTTTTGTGACGAAATATTCCTCCATTGTATGTCACATCACAAAAGCTACATTTGACTTTTGTGTTACTACCCATAGGAGTTCCATACCCCCAAGCCGGATCCCTTTCTTGTGACATTTTGAATAAGAAAATACAACTTCACTAGTTACTACAAGCAAAAAGAAGTGTCACTTAGTAACAAAACAACAAATTTACTAAGTAAGAAAAATAAAGACTATTAAGATTTAAGAGCAACAACCAGAGCAGTTACACTGTATTGAAATAAAAATAAAAAACAGAGCAGCAAGCATACACACATCAGTCACTGTATAGAAATAAAAAAGAAAACAGAGCAGCAAAAGAATTGGAAAAAACAGAGCAGTAATATTAATTGAAAAAAAAACAGGTCAGTAATAGAGATTGAAAAACAGAGCGGCAAACAGAAATTGAAAAAAAAAATGCAGCAATAAAAATATAGAAAACACCCAGCAGCAACCAAAAAAAAAAAAACAGTAGCAGATCAGTCGCAGTAGCCTCGCAGAGAAGAAGAGAAGAAGAAGAAGAAGAGAAGAAGAAGAAGAAGAGAACTTACAGTGGCAGCCTGGCAACAACCAAAAATAGAAAAAAAGTCGTAGAGCAGTCGCAAAGAAGAAGAGAAGAAGAGAACTTACAGCAGCAGTCCAAAAAAGAAATTTGAAGTCGCGAAAGAGGTATATTAAGTCGCATAAGGATTTCAGAAATTAAAAAAAAAAAAACCCTTACAATTTTAAAAAAAGAAACCCTAATTAGCGCCTTTTCAAATTAAGCGCGCTTTTTTACGCTTTTGCTTTTCTTGCGCTTCTCGCTTCTACAGTAGAAGCGAGCGCCTTTTCAATGTCGCCTCGCTTCATGAAATAAAAGCGCAGGGGCCTCGCCTCGCTTCTCGCTTTAAGCGCGCTTTTCTGCGCTTTTTACAACACTGCACAAACCTGAGTCAAATAGTGCGCAAACAACTAGCTGATCAACAATTCCTGCTACAAAAGGCAATACACCACCTACTTATAATGGCACCAATAACCCATTAATTCGGGTACATCATTGTGAACAATCTTTTGAAAAAAATCAACATACAACGAAAGCAAAAAAAATATTGGTGTGGCTAGATTTCACATGTTCGGACTAGCACCATTATTGTATTATCAACTTAAACGAGCGAAAGACTTAATGAGTTGGAAAGAATTTCAGCGACTTGGACCTCGTGAAAATAACAACCTGGTGGGTGAATTAGTCATGTTTTAGCAACCTGATAGAGTCGAAATTTATCAATGTCAACTTCAAGCTAGGGTTGGAATTGGATAAGTTGATACTGATCCAGATTTTCTAGATGAATGTTGTGACATTCGAGCTTGAGGACAAGCTTTTTCAACGTAAGAGGGGGGTAATGTTGTGGATGCGTTTCATAAGGATTAGGTTAAGTTATAGTTATTAGTTTGGAATAGGAGTTAGGTCTCCTACTTTCATAAGAATTAGACTTCCTATTGATGTAATAAGACTCCTATTTAAAAGGGCTCTTGAGAATAAATCGTTAAGTCATTTTTCAGCAAAAAGCTGAGTTCTCTCTTCCATTGAACTCTAAGGTTTCAGCCTCCCTTTGAAGAGTTGAAGAGATCAGAGTTCTCTCTTTTAATGAACTCTAAGGTTTCAGCCTCCCTTTAACAAGTTGATTTATAATTCGCCTTGTGAATCGATCCTTCCCTAAAGATTCATTAGAGTAACAAATAGAAAGTAACAAATAAATAATCGATATGTAACAAGAAGAATAAATCATTGACCTCAACAAAGTAGTGGTGAGGGTTGGTCTTTGAAATGCTTACGACCACACTTAGACATAAGATAATCTTTAGTAGTCAATAGACAAATAGAAAGATATAACTCATCGATATGTAATAAATTATTTAATATGGTGGGATTTAGCACAAATCAACTCAAGCAAATGGAGATGTGCATATCAATCCAATGCATATTATGTAAAGTGGAAACTCATGGATAACACCAAATAAGTCAATATCCTCAACACCTATGTACACCTGGATGGGCTTGGGGTTGGTCAGCCCAACGATTCATGGGGAGAATTGGGTTGTCCATATGTCGTACTCCACCTGCAGTGCATACTATATCAACGTGCTATCATTCTCATCACGAACGATCTCAACATGCACCTTTTATGATCAATAACTCATATTTAGCACAGATAGCCTCCACGTGCTTGTCTCATATCAATTTCTCAATCACGATTATAATCACCAGATAAAAGCATGATAGGAAAATTTCCATAGAGTGAGTTTTCAAGTATTCATGTCATCTTATATGCAATTAGCTCAAAGATAAAGCCTATCTGGCATCAATATTAATGGATTTGACATTTAGCATGAATTTCCTCTTTCGTATCAACTATTGAAGTAATTAAATTAATTAAGCACTTAACACATGTCAAGTCACCCGATGTTTCCATAACCTCTCAGCACCTCATAGGGCACACCCTTACCCTTAATACACTACATTAATTGTTTAATTAAGGAAAACTATCCCCTATCGAAGGTCAAGTATGAACTTACCTCGAACCAAGTGCCACAATGTCAACGAATGGACTTTCTTTTCTGTAATGCTTTTTATAGCTCCCAATCTATTAAAAATTACGATCTCCTCGATTATCTAGTCATACCCTTGCCCACCCCACCTTATTTGCTGGAGGGAGGATACGATTGTCGAAGATGAAGTCCCGTATTGACATGATAAGAATTCGGTCAACTAAAATCTAACGTCGAGCCACTGTGTCCAAAACCATAAAGATCTTCTAGAGTTGGATCCCTCATAAGCCTATAGATCTTTCCAATCATTAATCGATCCCTAAATTGGATTAAAGCGCTAATTAGGATTAAGGAATCATAGGAAAATACTAGAATCAAAGTTAGATACTTACCCTCTTATCAATTTGAGTTGATTGGTTAAAAAATCGTCATAATCCGAGATTTAGAGGTCCCAAAAATGTAATTTGAATAGTAAGTTTGAAGTGGGGATTCGTAAGTCTACCCAGATTCCTTCTTTATGAACGTCAGGCCCACCTCTCTCGATCGTGGGTCCTTGATTCCTTGCACTTCGCGGCTGTGAGCTCCCCGTACTCGACCACGGTGCCCCTTGGGACACATTCCCCTTAACGATTGCGTCTACCAGCCCACAAAACCATGAGTCATGAGCCTAGCCTCCTACATGACCACGGCACAGTCCACGCAACTGTGAAGAACAACAATTGATGGCACCAACAATAAAAAAATTGGTCTCTCCTTTGCTGCCCCAAACACATCCGAATCCATTGGGATGGAAACCAAATATGCAAATCACTTCAAAAAACCCTATAAACCCGTTGGAATACTCAAATTACCAATCCAGTGTCATCTAGGCATATATTTGACCATGGTCAGCTGTTATTTTCTTAATTCACTAGTTTACTACCTAAGTGTCCGAATTACTCCCGAGTCCCTTGAGACCATCCAACCAAGTCCTAAATCATTTTCTGAACCTACAGGAGCTTTCAAATTTCGATTCTGAGCTCGTTTACTCCAAATGTTGATTTTGGTTAAACCTTTTGTTTTCTCCCAAACTTCTAGTATTTAGTATTCTTTTCTAAAATACATCCATGTCCCTCGGGATCCATGTCATCCGTTCTCGCAAGTCATAATTCACATTTTGTATTCTTTTTGAGTCGTTTCAGTTATTAGTAGGTAGAACAGAGCTTCCTTCATTACATTGTTCCATGATATTGGTCAATTTGTGCCATTTGCCTGTCTATCTGCTGTCTTTGATTTGTCTTAATTCAGTTTGAAAATGATGTAGCAGTTATGGTTTTCTTTTCGTGTCAGTTAGTTATTAGTAGGTGGGGGAGAGGTTCCTTCATTACATTGTTGCATGATATTGGTCGATTTGATCATTTGTTAGTCTGTCTGCTGTATGATATGTCTTTATTCAGTTTGAAAATGATATAGCAGTTATTGTTTTCTGTTCCTTTATAGTTAATTCATTTTAAACGAGCCTCAGGAGGTTTGATGCCAGAAGAGAGTGTAATGCACGCAAGTATTCTTATCTCATTCCTGCTGAAATCATCGGGATAAAGAATGATTCAACTTCTTCTGAAATCGAGTACCATATAGCCAATTTTAATGACATACTGAATTCTTTTGAGGTACTTTCAAGTCTATTAGATTGATCTTCTTTTAATGGCTGTGTTTCATGTTTAAAATTTTCTTTTATATTCCTCATTTTATAAGTGATTTGTATCGTGCTCATATGGCATACCTTACAAAACTTCAATTTTCTCTGGTCTGTATCTTAAAGAGCTCTCCTGTGTGGTTTGCGAGCTATTGCGTAGGAGCAGGGGTTTTACCTTGTGTGCACTCAAAGAGTAGCGGCTGCGGGTTCCCTTGTCATAAAAAAAAAGAATTATTCTTCATATTAGTCCTAAGAGGACTGACCTTAGGTTTCACTGGGAGAAATAGTTCACGAAACTTAGAAAATGTTACGTGCCAATTCAGTAGATGAGTGATTTCATTTTATGATATCTAGTCGTTTTCTGTTGATAAAAGACAATGATTCTGCTCTCTTCACTTGCTGTTTGTGATTTGGGTTGCAGGGAGAACATCCTTTCCACAATTACACAATACGATCCAAGTACAGGAAACAATCTCCTGCCAGAAACTTGTTAAAAAATGAGAGTCTCTTAAAAAAAGGGAGGCCCTCTAGTGAGAAAGAAATATCTGGGTCTGAGGAAAGTGATGGAGAACAAAACGGTAAAGAGAAGGGGGTGGTGACGATTGTTGAGGCTGAAAATCAAAATCCAGAAGGCAACTGTAATGAGAAAGTTAGTCATTCAAAGGATCTCAAT